AAAGGGCATTTTAGTAAAATATAATCAAGATATCTGCTATTATAGCAAACCAAACAGATTAATTAGTAATAGAAGTAATCATTGCAAGGGCATTCTAGTAAAAGGGTATTTAAGGACATCTGTTATTGCTGTCAACCAAGCACATTAATTATTAATACATCCCAATTGAACCAAGCACAATTAATAATTTAAACCCGGTAATCTACAATGTAATCTTTCTTTCCGGTAATCTTATTACTAAGATAAAAAAATATTATATGATCCAAACGCCCCCAAATTGTTGAAAAAGATACTTGCCCTTGGCCTAACATAACAGTAAAAAATATACGTTAAATAATTTATTGATGTCTTCTTCTGAACTCTTTCTTTTGCTCGGTAAAGAGTTGTGAGTTGACATGGTGTAAACTTTTAAAAATCTGCAAATAACACCCACAAAAGATCTTATAAAAAACTGCAAAGAACACTTCATAGCCCTTATAAAAAATGCAAAAGATCTTATAAAATATGCAAACTGCACTACATTTGCAAATGCAATTTGTTAAGTGTAGACTGTAGTGCAGTTTGCAAATGCAAACTCAAATTAAATATTTTAATTTCCTATTTATTCTTGGTAATGAAGGGTCTAAAAATAAGATATAACAAGCCATAGAGATAGCATGTCAAATTTAAATTTTGACTCAGACTATAATGGACCATCAAAAAGGGAAAGGAAATTTATATTTCATTTTCCAGTCAGGAAAATAGAAAGCCCCAAAACTACTGTCACAATAGCCTCAAGCCTCGGCCTCAAATATACTTGGCCAACTAAAATTTCACAACCTCACAAGCATCCCTTGATTTTGCACCTTTCGTAAAAGAAAGAAATGGACAAAGAATATACTCAAACATATACACACGATACTTTTTTCTATTCTTCTAGCTTCATTCTCTACCAATCAAACAAATAATCATATTACATTGGTGAACAACCACACCCTACTATGATTAAAACACATAGTAGAAGACCAACAACACGCAGTAGCTTCGTCAAAAAACGACATGCCACCCATCCCCAACAGCCGTCCAGCTAAATCAAGGAATTTGTTTAAATAGCGCGGACCAAGCGACCCCAGCTTTTTGATTTTCTGGAATGACTTTCTGAATGTACTGTATATATTTTCCATAGATAGCTCATCAGAACTTGTATTTAAACAGAATGTTACTAGCAATATAATGTGTTCAAAAATGAAAATTTAGAGTAGTGTTTTCTTCTATATGGTATCAGAAGAGCCAACCCTCTAACGAGATTCTTTTTTTTTTTTTTTCCGATCATGGCTGCTACTCCTACACAATCCTCTACTTCTGAATCATAAATCATCACCATCAACCCAACCACCACCATTTATGAAAAGCTTACCCCTGCCACATTCCCTCAATGGAGAGCTCAATTTGAAGCACTGCTCATAGGTTACGACCTCATTGATTTTGTCATCGGAAATCATCAATGTCCAGTCATTGATGCAACCAACTCTGCTGCCTCTAAAGCCGCACACTCCCACTGGGTGCATCAAGATAAACTACTTCTCCATGCCATTCTTGCTTCCATCTCCACAACAATCACTCCACTTCTTGCATCCTGCAAAACATCTCAACAGGCCTGGTCAACTCTTACTCGGCTTTATGCAGGCAAATCTCGAACACAAGCCATGCAACTCAAGGAAGATTTAACATTGAGCACTCGTGGCAGTAGATCTGTCACAGAATTTCTTCAAGGTGTAAAAATGATTGCTGATGAGCTTGCAATCATAGATCACCCTGTTTCGGATGATGATCTAACACTATATATTTTAAACAGCCTTGGACCCGAGTTTCGTGAAATTGCAGCACCCATTCGTGCTCGGGAAACCTTAATGAAATTTGAGGAAATTCATGACTTGCTGGTTGGTCATGAAAATTACATCCGCCGACTAGAAGCCCAATCGACAACTCTGCTTGCCACTTCCAACTACATATAACGAAAAGGGAGCTCCTCTGGCAATGTTGGGTCCTTTTCGCAGAAGCACTCTTCAAATGGAAATCAAGGTCATGGCAAGCGTGGGCCATCTGATTCGAGCTTCAAGAAATATAAGCCAAAATGTCAACTTTGTGATCAAATGGGCCATACGGCCAGGACCTGCTTCAAATTCAATTAAATTGAAATCACAGCAAATTGTGCCGCCTCCTCTCAAGGAAAAAATAAAAAATGGCTTGTTGATTCCGCAGCCTCCCACAACATGACCACTGACCTCTCCAATCTTTCAATACACTCGGAGTATGATGGTACTGATGAGGTGGTAATTGGTGATGGTTCAGGTTTGCCTGTATCTCATGTTGGCTCTTTGTTTTTTGCTTCACCTAATCGTATTTTTCATTTACATGATACTCTTTGTGTTCCCACCATTAAAAAAAAAAATCTTATCTCGGTTCATCATTTCACCAAACACAATAATGTCTATTTAGAATTTCATCCCTCTCATTTCTTGGTGAAGGATCGGATCACGGGGGCGACACTACTCAAAGGTGACTATGAAGATGGCATGTACCCACTACCGGAATCATTAGCCAAGGTTTCAAAAAAAGTTGTTGCTTACATTCATGAACGCACCACCACTGATGGTTGGCATAAAAGACTTGGTCATCCCTCGTCAAAAATTGTTAATCATGTTATTCGTACGTTTTCTTTACCCACAAAAAATAATGGGCACTCATCTCTTTGTAGTTCATGCTCTCAAAATAAATCTCATCATCAACCTTTTAATTCTCATGGCTTAACTAGCGATGCTCCCTTGGAATTAATTTATTCATATGTTTGGGGTCCTGCTCATGATATTGGTATTGATGGTTCAAAATATTACATTATTTTTGTTGACCATTATACAATATATTTGGCTCTATCCTGTGTCCAATAAATCAAGTGTGCAAACCATTTTTCCTCAATTTCGACATCTTGTGGAAAATAGATTTAACAAAAAAATCAAAAGTCTATACTCATACAATGGTGGCGAATATATTGGGTTAAAGTCTTATCTATCTGTCCATGGAATTGCACACTATACAACTGCTCCACACACTCCACAACAAAATGGCATGTCTGAAAGACGACATCGCCATCTTGCTGAAACAGGGCTCACACTTCTCACGGATGCTCATATGCCTCACTCATTTTGACCCTATGCTTTTCAAGCTGCTGCTTATCTTATCAACCGAAGGCCGAGTTCCATATCACAAAATAAATCCCCATTTGAGCATCTGTTTAACCAAGCACCAAATTACATGAAACTTAAACAATTCGGCTGCTTGTGCTATCCTTTTACCAGGCCCTATAATAGTCATAAGCTGGAGCCTAAAGCCAGGGCATGTGTGTTTGTGGGTTATCTATGTATGGAGCTCACAACGCACCGTATTTACTACTCACGTCATGTTCTGTTTGATGAAGGGAACTTTCCCTTTGAGAAGTCCAGCTCTCTATTCTCGAAATTCATGAATCTGCTCATATCCAAACCGAGTCTGTGATGGCATCTCCTGTTGATTTGCGCACACACACTATGGTAACCCGATCAATGAACAACATTTACCGACCAAAAAAATCTTTTTTGGTCACCAAGCATCACATCCCTCCATCATTGGAACCCCACACGGTCTCTGAGGCCATCTCTGACCCCAGATGGCGTGAAGCCATGTCCTTAGAATTAACTACCCTCATGAGTCATGATACATGGCAACTTGTTCCACCACCGAGAGGGTGCAATATAATTGGATGTAAATGGGTTTTTCGAATTAAGCGATATGCAGATGGTTCAATTGATCGGTTCAAAGCCAGACTTGTGGCAAAAGGCTTCAATCAGAGGCCTGATTTGGACTACAAAGAGACTTTTAGCCCTATGGTAAAACCTGTTACAATTAGAACAGTTTTATCTATTGTTGTGATGCAGGGATGGTCACTTAGACAATTAGATATAAACAATGCGTTCTTGAATGGTCATCTTACTGAAAAAGTCTTCATGAAACAGCCCCCAGGCTTTCGGGATTCAGAAAAACCAGAGTATGTGTGTTGCCTTAAAAAGGCAATATATGGACTCAAACAAGCACCTCGTGCTTGGTACTCAGCTCTCAAACATGCCTTGCTTGAGTTCGGTTTTATGAATGCAAAATCTGATTCATCTCTATTTGTGTATCATCATGATTTTGTTCTTGTCTACTGTTTAGTGTATGTTGATGATTTGGTAATTACTGGTAATAATTCGCCATTTGTGGAAAGAATCATTGATCAGCTTGGAAAAAAATTCTCTCTTAAAGATTTAGGGCCTCTTCATTTCTTTCTCGGCATAGAAGTAATACCAACAAGAGATGGACTATTTCTAAGTCAACACAAATATATCCGAGAGCTACTTGGAAAAACAAGTATGGAGGGTGCCAAAGATGTTACAACACCTCTGTCAACCTCAGTTTCCTTAAAGCTTGATGATGGCCCTTCCTCATTTGATGCCACAGAATATAGGAGAGTTATTGGTGGACTGCAATACCTCTCATTGACTAGGCCTGACATCAGCTTTGCAGTCAACAAACTCTCTCAGTTCATGCATGCTCCTACTACAACTCACTGGACAACCACAAAGAGATTGCTAAGATATTTGAAGAATACAATTTTCTAAGGCATCACCATAAGAAAAACAGCTAATCCAGCCCTTTTATGTTTCTCGGACTCGGACTGAGCAGGTAATTTGGACAATCAAAGTTTGACATCAACGTATTTAGTCTTACTTGGTTCAACACCTATATCATGGAGCTAAAAAAAACAACGTTCCATTGCTTGCTCATCTACCGAAGCTAAATATTGAGTATTAGCAACAGCTGCTGCCGAGTGTATGTGGATCCACTTTCTTCTTCAAGAACTAAAGTTTCCACTAAAAAATCCACCACTATTGTTATGTGACAACTTGGGAGCCACTCACCTTAGCTTCAATCCGGTTCAACACTCAAGGATGAAACACATTCAAATTGATCTTCATTTTGTTCATGACTTGGTTCAGAAAAATGTACTCAATGTCCGTCATGTTCATACCAATGATCAACTTGCTGACTTGTTGACCAAGCCTCTCTCACGACAACATACAGATCATCTCAAGAACAAGATCGATCTTACTGATGGAAGTCCGTTCTTGCGGGGGCGTATTAAGGAAGATGCTGAAGATCTGTCACAATCCCAACCGAAGCAACAAATCCGTCCAACAGTAAATCAAGGAATGTAAATGCTGACAGCTTTTGATTTTCTGTGTAAATGACTTTATGTTGTATATTTCCATAGATAGCTTTACGTTATATATTTTCCATAGATAGCTTTACGTTATATATTTTCCATAGATAGCTCATCAGAACTTGTATTTAAACAGAACGTTACTAGCAATACAATGTGTTCAAAAATCAAAATTTAGAGCAGTGTTTTCTTCTATAAAGACCAACAACACGCAGTAGCTTCGTCAAAAAACGACATGCCACCCATCCCCAAATTAGAATAACATGATAAAATCAACAGAACCCACAATCTATTACAAACTCAAATTAAAATAAAAGAGGAAAAAAAAGTGGGAAAAATACTTGAAGCAGGAAACGTAGAGTCGTGGAGGCGATGACGGTAGCTGATTAGTGTTTATGGAGGCCGGAATTGGTGAAGATGCAATGACGGTAGTATATTACGGTTTGTAGAGGCGAGAATCGACAAAGAGGCGATGACGGATTGACGGACGACAGTAGCAGATTAGGGATTTAGGGTTGATTGTGTTTGTGACTATGCGTAGGTTGTAGCTGCGTTTTGCGGGCGAAAATTTGGTTTATAAATGAAGGGCAATTTTGTAATTATAACAATATAACCAAGACAATTTTGTAATTATTGAAGGACAAAGGTTGCTTGCTTCACTATTTTGAGTAGGATTTTTTTAAAAAGTTGAGTTGAGTTATTATCCAAATGGCTCTTTATATGACCCAAACTTTTTATTATAAAGAGTTTATCCATAGAAGCAAGAGTTGAACAGACTTTTATTCTTTAAATGTAAATTAAAGAGTGAGTTTGGCTCTCTACATTTAGAGAGTCAAATATCACTCTCTATCCTAATTTTAAATAATAAATTGTAAGTTTCTATGTATTTTATTTATGATTTATTTCTCTTATTAAGTTTTCTTCTTGAAAAAACATATTCTCTCTCTTAAAATTTAAAGAGTCCATTAGATTTGAATAAAAATTTTGTTCTTTATATTTAAAAATCAATGAATATGCTCTTTATTTATATGATAGAACATCTCCAAATGACTTTTTATATGACTCAAACTCTTTATCATAAAGAGTTTATCCATAAAAATAATAGTCTAACACACTCTTTATCTTTAAAATATAAATTAGAGGGTGAGTTTAACTCTCCACATTTAGAGAGTCAAATTTTACTCTCTATCCTAATTTTAATTAATAAATTACAAGTTCCTGTGTATTTTATTTATTAATTATCTTTCTCATTAATTATCTTTCTTAAAAATAAAGAATATCTTTATTAAATTTAAAGAGTATATTAAACTTAAATAAAAATTACGTTGTTTATATTTTAAAATTAGCAAGATGTTGTTTATTTATATCAAATTTTTTTTTTTTTTTCTCAATTTAAAGACACGGAGTGGATGATTGACTTTGAATTTAATGGGAAATTGCCAGCGGAGCAGGTAAGGTGAGGTAAGAGCAAGACGGTTTCTCTATTGATTGTTAGTTGTTGTTTCATGTTTGCAAATAAAAACTTATTCGTGCGTTGAATATAACTAAAATCTGAAAGGCGTGGCGGCCTAGCGGGTGCTTTAAATAATTGCCTCCACATGCACGCCTTATTAGATCCCCCCATCTGGAGTCCCTGTTAATCAACTAAGTTTTTAAAAAAAATGTGTAATTTGTATCCTAAATTGTAATATTATTACTGGTATTTTAACATTTATTTTAATTTTGAATTTACCTTTAAAACTTATTTTTAATAGTCTTTCGAAAAGTACTCCCTATGCAAATGTCCTTTTCCTGAAAATATGTATATCATCAGGGACCCCGTTTATAGCAAAATTTGGTTGAAAGAGATATTGAAATGAGCAACGGACGACAGGGAAAGCTTCAACCATTCAAGAAAACGTTTTTTTTTTAATTTATTCCAAAGAAGTGGATAAGGAGTAATCAATATTTCTTATTTCAATAAGAAATTAATTTTGGTAAAATTATTCTGTTGACGGATATATACTTAAACTCTAAATTAATGCATAGTTGAAATAGATTTTAGATAATTAATTATTCCAACATATATATAATTATTTTTATTAAAAATTGTTCAAAAATAAACTATTTTATACCAATAATATTTAAAAAAATAAAAATATATTTGAAATTGTAATATAATTCTTATTTATTAGTGCATGGAAGTTAGTGCTTGTAAGCTAATTTGAGCTTACAGAAATACTATGCATACTACTAGTTTTTACTAACCAGTCTACAACATGACGTGGCATCTGGCGTGGAGATGCCAATTCAGCTGCCACGTCAGATAGTTAAAAAAAAAAAATTTGTGAAAAAATTTTGTGTAACTAAGTTTATAGAACAAATTTTTGCCTCCAAAAACTTTGCCTCCCTAATCTTTGCCTCTGTAATCTCAATCTTAATAACTTAAAATCTTCTCTCCCAAATCCCAATCTTAATAACCTAAATCTTCTCTCTCAAATCCCAATCTTAATAACCTAAATCTTCTCCCAAATTAAATCATACTCAAAACCCAAATTACCCATCCCGAATTTGAGCATTTGAACTACCGGCTGTGACATCCATTGTCGCTGTCGCATTTGTCTCTGTCACTGACTAGTGAGAGTTCCTTTTGAGTGGTAAGAGCTTACTCACTCAATGGTCTCTCTTACTTACTTGCTGCTGTTGGGAGAAGTGGAACACAACACTTGCTTGGTGCTTTTGAGTTGAGAACCATGTATAAGTGTGTATAAATTTTATGATAAACAATATTATAGTAAAAAGGAGCTTTGTAAATCCAATAAATTGAGGGAATTTTGTGCAAATGTAAAACGGTGAAAGGAACTACACAATTTGGGGAAGAAAAGGTGAAAAAAAAGGTTTGAGATGTTTTATATATGGTGTCATGGAGCTTGCAAAGCTTAATATTCATAATTTATTCTTGTTTATGCTGCTGCAAATGGCTGTTCATCAAAATGTCACATAATTCATGAATCTTCCAAATTTGTACAATGCATTATTGAAATCTTTTTTCCTTCTCATATTAGTTGTGGCCATTTCAAGTGCTGCGTTAGATGGGTATAAGAATGAAGTAAGAAATGAGTAGATACTTGTTCCTAAATCTTCAAAGTAGCTAATCGAATATAAACCTTGAATTGAAAGACTTAGAGTTGTATATGGGTTTTACTCTGGTATTCCATAAGGAAAGGACCAAGATATTTATACATATGTTGACTTCAGTCAATTTACAACTTAATTATGTGAACAGTTTATTTTAACAAAATTCTACATTTAGTTTACATAGTACCAAAGCTCATTTGACTGACTTCAATGGCTGATTTCAGGTGCTTTTTGCTGTTGAAGTGCATGATCTCGATTGTAATGGAAGTGTGTCTAAATGGGACTTCAATTCTTGTTATTTATGTTCCCCTTGCTTATCTTTTTGTTATATGTTCGGAAGCATGTATAACTGAATCATTCTCTAGTTAGGTATGTATATGAAGTTCTTGAATTCAAAAATATGATCAGTTGTTATAACCATTTTTTGTTTCAGGGTTCTGGTTGGAAAAAGGTTGGCAGTTTTTAAGGACTTTTCCAAATAGATTCAAGTAGCGCCTTTCGGACAGACATTTGGAGATCAATAATGTAAAGGCACTTGTCTTTTTGCCTCTTATTTCATAAGAATGTTTCTTCCTATTTTCTACCTTCTTGTTAAAAATTAGTTTCTTGTTATATATCTAGGAGAGATGTTCCTTGGTATCTTAGAAAACATTTAGTTCTTACAGTTGGGAGGTTAGTTGTTACTACTTTGATTTGATGTGCTAGCTTATATGGTTTGGATTGTTTTGTCTTTACATATAGTTGCTGCATGTGGATAAATGAGTGCTGAATAAAACTTTCTGCATAAATGTAATAGATTATGTTCCTAATTTAATTGTAATTATTAATTGTTTTTTCTTAATTATTAATACACAAGTTTAGTTTAGTTCATTGGATTCAAAATGAATTTAAGTTGTTAAGTGTTTTGCAGAGGAGGCAGAAATAGAGGCTGATAACATGCAGGAGCAGACAATGGAGGAGATAAATGAACAGTTAAAGGCTTCAGTTTCTAATACTGAAAGGGTAAGCTTGTAATGAAATGAAGTTATTATTATGTATCAATGAGTACCCATGTTTGTATGATAAAAGATAAATTTTTGTATACACACAAGTTAATGTAGTTTAAACAAAAATTTGGATGGTTTTCTTTCTATCATGTTTGTTATCTTATAATATTCTAATTCTGGGCATTATAATATAAATGAATCAGGATAATCAATTTGAAGAAGTTGAAGATAGAGGAAGTGCAGAGAAGGAATGGGAGCCAAAGCCTGGGATGGTTTTTGATTCACTTGATAATCTTCTCCAATACTACAGAAGCTATGGGAATAGAATGGGGTTTGAAGTTATTATAAGATCCTCAAGAAAAGGAGATGATGGAGAGGTGACAAACGCAACACTAGCTTGTTCTTATACTGGGAAGTCAAGTAGTAACACCCGAAATGCTTTTAAATTGTACCCAGTGACAAAGACAGATTGTAAGGCTCGGGTTGGTGCAGCCGTACGTGGTAACGGAAAATGGAAAATATGTTCAGTGGGGTTGAATCATAACCATGAGCTCAGTAGCCCAACAAAAACTAGATATTTCAAGAGCAATCGTGGTATACAACCATATGTGAAAAGGAAACTTGAAGTAAATGATAGGGCCGGGATTAGGCCGAATAAAAATTTCAATTCCATGTTAGTTGAAGCAGGCGGTCCTAAGAATTTAACTGTCTTGCAAAAAGATTGTAGGAACTATATTGCAAAAGTTAGGAGGATGCGACTTGGTGCCGGGGATGCTTATGCAATCCAAAAATATTTTTTGAAGATGCAAAAAGATAATGCAAATTTCTTTTACATGATGGATTTAGATGAAGAGGGTCGATTACAGAATGTTATATGGGTGGATGCAAGAAGTAGGGCTGCATTTAAGGAATTTGGCGATGTTGTCACATTTGACACTATATACTTGACCAATAAGTATGATATGCCATTTGCAGTGTTTGTTGGTGTTGACCATCATGGGCATTCAACACTCTTAGGTTGTGGGTTAATCTCCCATGAGGACACGGAGACTTTTGTTTGGCTTTTGAATCCTGGCTTGCATGTATGTGGAATTTTGCTCCAAATGAAATAATCACTGATCAAGACAAGGCGATGCAAAATAGAATCGAGATTGTGTTTCCCAGTACATGGCATAGATGGTGTTTGTGGCATATAATGAAGAAATTGTCAGAAAAGTTAAGGGGTTATAGCGAATACGAACGCATTAAGTTTGCTTTGCAAAATGCTTTATATGATTCATTGACACGTGAGGAGTTCGAACAACGTTGGACTGGATTCATTGATAAATACAACCTTCACAACAATGAGTGGTTACTTGGACTGTATAATGAAAGACAATGTTGGGTGCCATCGTTTGTAAAAGACACCTTTTGGGCGGGTATGTCCACCACTCAATGGAGTGAAAGTATGCATGCATTCTTTGATAGGTATGTAAATTCTAAAACCACTTTGAAACAGTTTGTAGAACAGTATGAGAATGCACTGTGTGATAAAGTAGAAAAAGAAAAGGAGGCTAATTTTAGATCATGGAAATCATGGATTTCAGTGGAATGCATTTGAGGATTAATAAAGTACCTTGTTTCTCCATTGGATAACCGGTTATCCAATGGAGAAACAAGGTACTTTATTAATCCTCAAATGCATTCCACTGAAATCCATGATTTCCATGATCTAAAATTAGCCTCCTTTTCTTTTTCTACTTTATCGGTTATCCAATGGAGAAACATTTTCAGGAGGCACACACAACCACAAAATTCAAAGAGTTTCAGCAAGAGCTTACTGCTAAATTGCATTGTGAGATATCTTCTTTCCGGGCCACTGAATCTGAAATAGAATATATTGTAAAGGAAGTTGTTGTGGTTGGGGACAATTTCAGGAGGCACACACGACCACAAAATTCAAAGAGTTTCAGCAAGAGCTTACTGCTAAGTTGCATTGTGAGATATCTTCTTTCCGGGCCACTGAATCTGAAATAGAATATATTGTAAAGGAAGTTGTTGTGGTTGGGGACAATTTCAGGAGGCACACACGACCACAAAATTCAAAGAGTTTCAGCAAGAGCTTACTGCTAAGTTGCATTGTGAGATATCTTCTTTCCGGGCCACTGAATCTGAAATAGAATATATTGTAAAGGAAGTTGTTGTGGTTGGGGAGACATGTCGTAGTGTGCCCTTTGTGGTTTGCTATGATGATCGTGGTTGTGATGTTCGTTGCAACTGTCACTTTTTGAGTTTAGAGGGATTATTTGTCAACATGCAATAACGGTATTGCTTCATAAAGAGATTTATCATATACTTGAAAAGTTCATTTTAAGAAGGTGGAGGAAAAATGTATATAGATGCCACACGAAGATTAGAGTTAGTTGTAATAGCTGAAGCACAGTTGCTGAAGGAGAACGGTTTGATCAATTGTCTAATTCATTCTCTAAGGTGGCTGATTTAGCCTCAACCAATATTGATGATAGTAATATGGTGATGCATATGATTACTGACATGAAGAAGAAATTATTGTCAAATGAACGTGTTGGCGGGATTGATAGACATGGTGACATGTCATGTCACAGTGGATCAAATTTTGATAGTGTTCATGCTAATTCCACAGAGGCAAGCAATAAAATTATAACTCCTCGGGCTGTTCGTTGCAAAGGTCGACCTTCATTCAAAAGGAAGCAATCAAAGCTTGAAAAAAATGTACGTAAAGGTAAACAAAAGAAATTTCATGAAAAAGTGTGTGTTGCGACATCCCTAAATTGATTGTATGATGGGGGTTCCCAAGAAACCAAGCAAGCAAATGAACCTTTTCAAGATGCGATTAACTTCCAAGGATGTGAAGAAGGAGTTCATATATTAAGCCAGGTATGATTCATTAATTTTCTGCCCTTTTCTTTTTGGTGTACAATTAATTTCTTAAGTCATTTTTTTTTTTTTACATTTTCTAGAATTACAATGAAAGGTCAGTCGCTTACAGGCCGTATCCAACAGATTCAAACTTGTGAATGAAGAATAATGGGTGAAGACCATGGTGAAAAGAATAGACAGTTTGAAGATGTTATATCGTAAAGTTGTATTATATAATTTATTTTTGTTCGTTTATAATCCAAGCTAAAGATATCATGCTATTCTTGGATAATATTTTGTTCTTGTATCATATATTGTGCATAGTTTCTTACCCTTGTATCATGAACAATATATTTTGTTCTTGTATAATATTTTGTACATGCAAAGCATCAATTTAAAAGATGCAAGATTTACTATAAGCAAAAAAACACTTTATTAATACAATTGCTGGTATTAGCCATTTCTTGTATAATATTTTTACCAAACAATACATGAACCCACAACATAACATTGGGGAAAGAACATCTAAACCTTGAAGCATTTGAAAATCTAAATTAGAAGCAATAAATTACATCAATGAGTTGCAAAAATATGGTTCTCTTTAAAGAAGTTGAGTCCGGTGAGCTGACTTCTTGATTTTGAACAATCAATTTATGTGATTTTGTTGATGGCTACGAGTGGTTGCAGGGGTGCTGGGGGTGTTAGGTTGGTGAAATCTAGGTTGGGCAAGGCCAAGAAAGGTGGTTAGGGCGCGGGGAGGGCAGGGTGGTTTGGGTACAGTGGGGGGCAACTGTGGTGGCGGGTGATGGCTAGGAAAAGACTACAGTAAAGGGGGACAGTGTGTGGTGGTGGGTGATGGCTGGGAAGTGGCTGCAGTGGACAGAAAAAGGGGGGCAGTGTGTGGTGGGCAATGGTTGCAGGTGGTTGCAAGGGTGCTGGCGGTGTTAGGTTGGTGAAATGTAGGTTGGGCAAGGCCAAGAAAGGTGGTTTGGGGCACTGGGAGGAGACGCACATGCGCTGGGAGCTGCCTGCCCGCGCAGGCGCTTGCTTGTTTATTCCTTGGTTTTGGTTTTGGTTTTGGCAAATGGTTGAGCAGGTGGTGAGCAGAGAACATATTCAGGTGGATATGGTGACTGACTGACTGGATACATGGGGAAGGCCAAAAAACATTACAACCAATCAAACAACACAAACACTTCCAATATAATGAATCTCCTATCAAACAAACTCCAAAATAAATATGCCAATCAAGCTGCCATTCCCACCATCCATTCCTCCTGCAAGCCAAACCACCTTCACTATTCTTCCTAACCGTGAAGAGATTAAAGTGGTTTTCAGCACCAAGGTATATGTCATCGTCAAGAATTTCAACAGCCGACATCCAATTTGCATTATAGTCATGAGCCCGTTCCTCGATGGCACCTTCTTCATGCTGAAAATTATCAAATTTTTAGCTAATCAGTAAGAAAACAGACCTACTTTATGCAGTAAATATGAAAAATAATTTCTTGATCACAATAACAAATAAGAACAGTTTCAAGTAGAAAATAATTAAAAGGTATGTAAAGTGGAATGCATTTGAGGATTAATAAAGTACCTAACAAGGAAATGGACTTCATCAGATTACCAACAACAATGAAATCTCCACGAGTTTGCACATAGAGGGCGAGTATGTGACCATGATGTCCGCATTCGGATTGCAACTCCCGATTACCATCATCTCGGAGCATCCACTTGTATAACTGGATTTTTTGATTGATAGCAGCAAGCAATTTGCCATTGAAGGCATTCAATGAATAAACTGCTCTCTTAGTTTCCTTCTCCGCAATCAGCTGTAACTTACCATCTTCCACTATGAAAACCTATATCCTCCCCTACACAGAGAAAAGACACAATTGAAATAGGAACATTGCTACAATGTGTCAATCTCAAACTGAAAACAAAGATAACCTGCATCTAGTTTACCTTGGTAGGCTCATTTTCTTCCGGCAAAACATAGGCAGTCCCAACACAGTAATAAACATTACTATTATCAGAGAAGGAGCAACTGAGAATGGAGCAACCATACTCGAATGTGTCAAGTGGGTAAGTTGATATGGACTCAAATGTTTGGTCGTCTAACAAGCGGATGAAGTGCATTTCAGATTCTTCTGCACTAGACTGGTTCTTCAAACTACAGATAGCAAAAGTCCGGGAATGCTCTTGATGACAGATACAGCGTGCATGCTCCCCAAGAGGTATAGAATGGATATGAAGCTTCTGGATATCATCAATTGTGCCAATAGTAAGCTCACCTTCTTTTGCAATTGCAAGGCTGTTGATAAAAAAAACATTAATCAATGCCTCTTGAAATATATCTTCAGAAGTAAGATAAACTGAAAAGCACTCGGCTTGGTCATGTTTCAAATATACTATTTGGATCATATTCATCTAGAAAACAGTCAATCAGAATGTGTTTTTAATGTCCTAGTTTATTGCATGTTAAAAAGATATCGGCCTGCTTCGTTATAAATTTAGAAGAAACTATTCCTTTTAGCATGGAAATAATACAAGCATTTGGTAGTAAAGTGCAAAATATAAAGGTGCCAGACCCAATTAATGAAGGAGCTCATAGTCATAAATAAATTAGTTTACAAAAACTGAATTTACAGATCTATTCTAGTTCATAAAAAATCAAAACTAAGGATCTCTCAACATGTTTTTTTTTTTTTTTTGGCCATATTTTGTGGTACAATAAACAATAGGATATCAGGAAATTAGCATCTTGTAAACTTTATGGTTATTCTTGAGTACTAACTTCACATCAATCATATCTTCACACAAAGAAACAAAGAACCATTCATGACTAGGTATGGCATAAATATAAGAAAACTAATTTGAACAGTAACATCCCATTAATTGTTCATGAAGACAAGATATGCCAAAATAATATACAATTATGGGATGCATTCTTTTCCAGATTACCGAAAAATTAAGTTGCGAGTAAAGTTTCTTAAATCAGATGCTTACTTCACACCACCCAAGCACATACAGACTAAGACAAAGACTTGACGTCTAGCTTTGTGTAACATTACAAATTAGCCCCAATTAGTCCATCTTAATGAATTTGTATAAATGGGATAACTAAATAATGACCACCCTCATAATATGATAATGTTTCCTACATGTAAATTAAATCAGAGTCACTTTAAGAATACTAAACTGTTCAGTCTACATGGCTCAGCCAATAAATGAAGGATGGAGGAAAGCGTACCTGCCTGGAAAAGCAGCAGAGTTAAAAGGGCACATATGACCGAATTCTTTCAAATTTACATTACTATAAAGTAGCTTTTTGTCATTGCATTGGTGGTGATCTTCGGTGGGGATGATAGGGGTTTTTGTCAGGGGAGGCCGGTGAGGTGAAAGGTGGCGTCGGGGTAGATTTCCGATGCCGAAATCGACCAAAAATTGGTTTGAAGAGTGCGAACCCTAGATGAGCGGCAACCTGCTATTGGTGGGTGATCTTCGGTGGGGATGATAGGGGTTTTGGTCAAGGGAGGCCGGTGAAGTGAAAGGTGGTGCTGGAGTTTATTTTTGGTGCCGAAATGGTGGCTAGCGATTTAGGGGAGAAGGAGATTAGGGCACAAATGGTTTTTTGGGCAAAACATTCGTAAGCGGGAATTTTTTTGGGGGAATTTTTTTTTTAAATTATCTGGCGTGGTAAATGACTGATGTGGCAGATGA